GGGCATGTTCACAGCCTTTCGAGTGAACTTGATAACAAAGGATGACTACCATATTGAGGAGTTTCAAGAACAAAGTACATTCATAGCCTCGTCATTTATAATATATTCGTATCGTGAAAAATGAACTATGACTGTTATATATTTCGATGCTTTACTGGTCTAATCTCTCTACAATTCATCTACACTGAAATCTAGTGAGAATTGTCTAGATAAAATAACTATTTGTCTTGGTTATAATGAAAAAACTAAATACACCTAGATTTGCTCAACACATAATTTTACAGTTACAGATTGATTATGGTGTCATGACAGATGACTGTGAACTGATATGAAAGGAGTACATTGACTATAGAATGATGCTGTCAGTGAAGTGCATGATTCATCAGTCATAATAAAATTACGCATTGCACAAATGACCTCGTCGCATAATCGAACAAGTACTTAAATCCCAACGTTCCCATGTCCACAAACGGAGCATGGAATAGTCAGTGGAGTTGTTACAAATACGTTTGTTATTTGTGCCGAAAGATAATTTCATGACATATACGTAAGTGAAAGAATACAACGGGTCACATTAAATAATAATGAGTACACCATCATAATTTACATTTTCGTTGGAGGGTTAATTACCATTTAAACTTTTGTTAATTTAATGTCGGTTACTTGTTTACCCTGAAGAACTAACTAACATTAGGTTACCAAACGTCAGAAACACTATTCTTCAACTCATTGAGATACGATAAATTGCATAACTATTATCACCTCTTGGCAAAATGCTCAATTTATTTGAAACTATCAAGTCCAACCTTGATGAGGATACTTTTCTGTTGCTTTCTCCTTACATAATTCAAAAACGTGAAACATTGGAAAATCACTATGATCATCACAAATACAGCCAGTGACTGTGATGTAACGCAGGAACCAGGAATTCTCACATCTATCCAATACATACTCTAGTGATCATTAATTCATCACCACTCACTCAGATAAGCGATAATACTATGCTGTGTATAAGAATCATGGACGCCTTCATGTAAACATCACTTATCAGTCTGTACAGCAATCACAGACTGTCACTGGAGCAACAAATCTATCTCATTTGTCTTTATATTTCTTACTGTTTTTCTCATAATCGATGACAATCACATTGAAAACTGGCTTCTGTCTCGAGTTAATTTCTCACAGTTTTTTCTGTAATTGGTGACTTCCTTCAGTTAAACTGTGGATGTCGCTCAAAGTGACTAATTTTATGAATCATCAAGGTAAGACATCATTTGTTCAACATTGTGACCTCTTTGAACAAATTTTGTAAGCGATAATTTTAATACCTTATAGAGAAGCTCATGATAAATTCCACAAGTATTTCAACGAACTAGTCACATTCGTCTGTCTAAACCATATCATAGAGCTTATTCTCATTCACAGATTTCATTATTCATTGTCTGAATTCCGTAAACTGACTGTATTTAACTACACAAACTATCGGACATCGAATTGGACGTACAGTGATTAGGCACTTCCCACAAAATCTGACCGTCAAATGTCAGGATAGGAAAATAATGACTTCTGTATTTATAATACGTTAATTACATCACAATTTATTAATAACCTTTATCTGATAGATGAGCGTTCATCGACTTGTATGTGTGCGTATGTAACAAGTAACATCATGTTATTTTTAATTAATTACTCTTGGTATAATTTCTTATTATTCTCATGTATTAATGTCTCAACTCCACTGACTATTCCATGCTCCGTTTGTGGACATGGGAACGTTGGGATTTAAGTACTTGTTCGATTATGCGACGAGGTCATTTGTGCAATGCGTAATTTTATTATGACTGATGAATCATGCACTTCACTGACAGCATCATTCTATAGTCAATGTACTCCTTTCATATCAGTTCACAGTCATCTGTCATGACACCATAATCAATCTGTAACTGTAAAATTATGTGTTGAGCAAATCTAGGTGTATTTAGTTTTTTCATTATAACCAAGACAAATAGTTATTTTATCTAGACAATTCTCACTAGATTTCAGTGTAGATGAATTGTAGAGAGATTAGACCAGTAAAGCATCGAAATATATAACAGTCATAGTTCATTTTTCACGATACGAATATATTATAAATGACGAGGCTATGAATGTACTTTGTTCTTGAAACTCCTCAATATGGTAGTCATCCTTTGTTATCAAGTTCACTCGAAAGGCTGTGAACATGCCCATTGAATTAATAATAGTGATAACTGTAGTAACATATCTGACAAACCGCTGAGGAACATCAATGTGGTGAAGAACAGTGAGGTAAACTGTATATATGGAAAAAATAATTGTATGGTACATCTAAATGCTGAAGAGGTGGTAAGATTAGTGACATTCAATCTCTGTATCACATCACCGTTCATTTGATCATATGTATTCTTCAAATTCATAATTCAGATAGTAGAAGATAGATGAAAATAGTGTAAGCTAGACGATGGTGATGTGAGTATACTCTATCAGTGTGTTAATTCTCCACATTTTAAGGAAATAACCCTGTCTGTTCCAGTCATCATTGTTCTTTCTGAAACTAACCACTTCATTCGAGATTATGTGACATACATCAGATGAATATTTGGTTAATATTGAAATATTGAATTCATTCATTTCAGATGATTCCAATTGTCACTTCAACATGATGTATATTTACTTCTCGATAAGATATGTGAGAATTTAAGTTTACAAAAAGTGAACAATGTCATGATGCATTTAGACTAATTCAGTTGAATGGACATCACATAGCATTCTCAATCTTTTCAGTGAATACTCAAACAAATAAAATATTGTGCAATTTAACTCAAATGACTTCAATCTCAGTTACGTAGAAGGAGTATGATACGTGAGCACATAACGACCAATAATGTGACAACATATCTCATATCACTCATTGAATAACTAATATGTGTAGACATGCTGTAATTGAAGATATCGATGTTCACTTCAAACAACAACAACAATCGTCAAAAAACTCATAGATACAACCACATGAAACTGATAAATTCAATGTAGAAACAAGTGTGTCTTCAAAAAACTTACACTAGCATGTATTCGTTACACTGTCATTACTTATTGTTTTAAAGAGCGTACTACAGACCAGTTGAATGCATTGTACACATCAGACGTGTTTCATACGTTCTGATTATTATATATATAAATAAGTCAAAACAAATTCACACTTTTCATAGTTTCACTAGTAAATGGTGAAATGATATCCGTCACTGGATATTTGTTCAATATGAGGAGATAATTTGTTCATGGCATTACTTTTGTCCACATTGTGAACTGTAAATTACGTAATTATCCTCAACGTTGATTAACAATGATGAGACACGAAACACTGCATTTCTAAAACTTTGTAACGAGACTGTATTTATCGATCTACTAGGTATAAAAATCAACTCTTGCATACAAAATGTTCCCTTGATATTTTGACTGAACTTATATCTGATCATTAGTTCAAGATGGCCATCAATCACGTCAAATCAGTGCAAGCGATCTCATTCTCAGATGATTATCTAACGGTCATTCAATTTGCTTACTCATATGATGTGATCTAGTTAATGTCTTACCGTAATATATCATACATTAATGCATGAGAAATTTACAAAATTATATGAAGATCAATTTAGGGAAACTAACATTAGGTTACTAGTGATACGCACACATACATACAAGTAGTTGAATGACCTGTTTTCAGATTAAGACTAATATTAACCTGTTACCTAATTAAAAAATTATATTGAGGACAGCAATCGTTACTTTCTTATTCATTACATTACAGACTGATCTCAGTTAAACATCCACTCAAAACTATAAGGTGTTGGACTACAATTCATTTTAATAGTAGAACTCCTCAGAGCTGTGCATCAAAAGTCTCATCGATGGTTAGAGTTTTGAATGACAAATTTTGTTGATAACATCTAACCTCTACGCTTCCGATCCGATATCCAACAACTTGTATAGTTAACTCTAGTCAGTTCCCAACATTGGGACAGGCAATAATGATATTTACAAAAAAGAATGAACTGTACGATTTCGCTTGTATAGATTGGTGAGACTGTCTAGTTGAAAAAATGTTATTAGTCTTAATCTGAAAACAGGTCATTCAACTACTTGTATGCATGTGTGCGTGTCACGATTAACCTAATGTTAGTTTCACTAAATTGCTCTTCAAATTATTTTGTAAATTTGTCATGTATTAATGTCTCACACGTTCATTGTGTGTAGTCTGCTGATATTTGGATTACACTCTCGATAGCCATTATGAGTCTGATCATATTTACAATGACCTGATTGATTGAATCTCACGAACTCGTTCTGAAATAAAAGTATAAAAGCAAGTGGGTATGTGATCAGTTGAAGAGAGGAGATACTCAAATGTAAGTGGTTCAATTAGTGTTTCATTAACATTTTGAAATTTACTTCTAAACGACAAACTCAATCTGATGTATAACAAGGCAGTAGTAGAACAGTGTAAAGTAACATTGAATGCAATTATCCCGTAAATCACAGTGATATTCTGGGCAAACATATACAGATGGAGTAATTAGACAGGCTCTAACCGTTTAGGTTTTTAAATGGAAATCAGTCGAACAATAAACTACATTCCAATCCATCGATTCTGAGTATCATTTACTAGACGATTTGTTGTTATTCTGACAGTTGCTCAGTCCAAGCACATATTATAATTGTGTGAGCTTGCTGATAAATTATTGAAATTGAATTGGTCCTCTGATCGTTCGAATGGCAGTCAATCGCATGGTGTGGTGAGTTTGACATCTGAAGTCCAATAAGTTAGAATGTAACAGAGTAACTTTCACGTTTTCGTCGATTCACGATATCACATAACCGTCATTCCCTGTTATTACTGATAACTATCTAACCATCAACACTGTGGTCTTTTGCCTATAACTTCACGATAGTTTGCCAGAGCTGTACTGAGAAATAATACAAGTTTGTTAAGATTGATGCAGTCGTAATGCACTCATATTCGTAGTTCTATAATAGATTGAGAAATTATCGACATCATACCGATAATAACATGAGAGTGATACAACGACACTGATAAGCGTTTATCATAACTTACATGAGGAAGTGATGTGTCCGTCAACGATCAGACAGGTACGACACAAATCCACGAACGACTAATGAGCTCGAACTTTACACTTCTAGACCACCGATCCGGTTTTCAACGGTCTCAATGTCTAACATCAAACCATCCGCAATATTGCGCCACAATGTCAACCTATGTTGATGGCACATTTTCAAATAAACTCCAATTTTTATTCTATTTTATCTTACAGATAAATAGTTCAACTACATTCTAAGCAGTTTCACCTCGGAATGATAATGAAATATATCTCTGTTGTCGTCTTAATATTCACAACTCTATTGCTCAACACTTACAATGCTAAGGAAGATGATTCATTAGAACCAACATCAATTCTATTCAACTTCACTGATTCCCAAACCACTGCATTTGAAAATTGGATTGAGGTATCAGATGCAATTCTACTTGGAGGGAGATCTAAAGCTGCAATCGTACGACTAAATGGAACGGTAAATGTTGCTTTTAAATATAATGTAACTAACATTATGTTTAGAATTACCAATCGGCATTATTGTTCTATCTACTCAATCCACGAGAAAATGGATCGAGTTTCGCTGGTGTCTACAGGCAATTGGATACTCCGGATATTTCAAAATATACAGGTGTTGTAATTGATCTACATAGACAGGGTGTAAATTCTAAATTTCAATTTATACTCTATGGCGAATGTTCAGAGGTGCGAGATTGTGTATCACATGAGTCGGAATTCGAGGTAATGAGATATTCAATTGTGTAGAATAATTCAATGTGTTTTCTATGAAATATTTATAGACGCCTGAAATACGAGGAGACGTGAAAATACCATTTAGTAGATTCAAACCGCACTTTCGTGGAACACCGAAATCTGACTCAAATCATCTAAATTTATCTCATACATCACGTATTGGAATAAAAGTATATGGAGGAAGCAATGCGCCAGAAAACCTATTTGGTCCAGGTTCCATCGAAATATTCACAATTTCTGCATATAAGTAAGGAGGGATGCCAGTTTAAACAAACCGAGCTTATAGGAGTAATGGACAACTTGATATGTAGCGTTTATTCATACTATGATTATTTTCGTTTGTATTAAGCAGTTTTATCAATAAATATCATACATCTACCTACAAGTTTCGAATGTTTTAATGGGTCTCTTGTAGTTCATAACAAAATCGGTGAAGGCAAACGGTGATGAAATTCAGATGATTGATATCCTGTTTACCTGAAAAGTGATTATCATTCGTGTTATATACATCGATTATAATACCAGATTACGTAATGTGTATAATAACAGTGAACTTTTAAGTATATTAAATATGACGACAGAAGTATTTAATATAAGAAACACAAAGAGGTTATCAGTGAACACATTACAGACGAGAATTCGATTATCACGGTAGGCAAATATAGAGCTGAAACTGTCCTATTTAACATAAATGATTACATTGACAGAATGGATAACCGGCTGAATGATCAACAAACCTTTCAGAAAGTGATTCATCCGTCCGAGTGGTTCTCTTATTTTTGTTTCTTCATAATGACTCGTCATTTCTCCTCGTATGTAGAGTGTCTAGGAAGGTTATTGTACCTCGATTTACTTTCTCATTTATGCGTCGTATTGACGGTTGAACTTTATTGAATTGCTGAAGTGTTTCTATCAAGCCAGTGTAGTCATTATACAGCATAACCGTGTTGTCCATATATCGGCAGTAAAATGAAGTCTTATTAATCCTTTGTGACATTGTTCAAATCTTTCAACGCTATGAAGTAACACTCATTGTCGACTATAGGCAATAACACAATGACATCTGATTTCAATGAAGTGTCAACACCAACAAATTTCATACAGTGAGGTGATTGAGTTTACCTCACTCCATTCAACTTCACTGATCCTGAAATCACTTCATTTGATGATTGGATTGATGTATCAGATGCAGTTCTAATTGGAGGGCTAGCTCAAGACATTGTCGTTCGACATACTTCATATGTAAATCTTTAACTGTAAATGTAATTTAACCAACATCATGTTCAAAATTACCAATCAGCAATATTCTTCCATCTACTCAATCCAAGTCGAGATGGATTAGGTTTTACTAGTGTATAACACGACCTGTCGGAACAGGAAGGTATCTTCATTGATCTTTAAAGACAGATTCAAAATCCTACTTTCGAAATGAACTTCTACGGTAACTGTTCGAAAATATTCTTTTGTCCATCATATAAATCCTTATTCTATGTGACATGATATTCAAATTTGTAGAATCACTCAATGTGTTTCCTTTCATACTGTGGTTGACCAAAGATTATTTCACCTCAAAAATGACAATAACGTCAATACGTTCAAACGTTAATGTTATAATATACCGGTTACGATTCATAAACATAAATCAAAGATATAGGCTGTTACTTTAATTAGCAGACATTGGCATGCACAAGTTGCATGTGGTAACACAGTCTACAATTCCAATGAGGTTGTTATGATTTCAGTAATATAATCACACGTACAATATAATGGAAATATGGCTAAAGTCCATAGTGTTGTGTTGTATTTACTGTATATATGAGCAGTTAACAGTGTGTGTCATGCTATGAACGGTTGAAAACGGAAGTGAGTGAGTCCAAGCTCATGCGATTTCATAAAAATTTTACAATCGTTTGTGGACAATGTACAAACGATGAGAATTAGCAATATAAATGGAGATAGTATCAAGAATAAGCATGTCGTGCCTATCTTCAAAATATTTTCATAGACATCAGGAGAACAAAAACAAATAACGTTACATTGAAAGCCCACTTTCAAGCATAACAGGTATCCGATTTGCCAAACTTCCGTGAAAAACGGAACTGTGATTCAACGGTTTCAGATTTAACTGAATTATCTCGTTTTGGTATACACGCATATATTCATAACTGCCTGGAAGAATGACAGTTTGATCCAGATTCGTTGGAAATACCATCTATTGGTTTATACAAACTCAGACCCATAGGCAATCATTGGTCAACTGGAATTACATGTTTATTTGTAAAGCTAGTAAATGTTAGTTGTATAGCGTTGTTGAGTTTGGATGAGAAATTCTGTCAAATAATCGTTGGAACTTAATCATCGTTTGCATTGTTGTTTTTCCATTTGCGTAATTTTCCATTTGTGATATCTGAAGTTCGAGAAAATCAGCATTAAGTGAAAAGTGAAGTAACTCAGTTGACTGAGTTTATCAATTAACATGAGATCAGTATGCAACCAAGTAGAAATGTTTACGTTTACTGTAAAATTTAAAGATGCCAGAAATATTTATTGTTTGCTGGCACCTTACCCGCAACAACTTTGATGATCGAAATGTGTCAAATCAGTGAAATCACAAGTCAGAAGTGTAAAGTTTCAACGATATATATTCGATAGACTATTGACATATCGAGATGTTGAGCACAGAGTATCCACTCGTGATCTTGGACATATCCGTGACCGAGAGCATTCAGCTAGGTGAGTCCATTAAAATATTTTTGGCTAGGATCAAATATTACAGACCTACAAAACTATTGATGTCGAGGATTCATTTACCACCATAACGTGCATGACTTGTGTAACAAAACAAACGACTAAGTAATATCAGATGACAGTTTGTGAAGTTACTACTGATATTGCAATGAAATGTACTTCATATCACACAGGCAATCGTTGTGATTATATACAGGGACTGGTACACTCTATATATTGGTCAATTATCAAATAAGCAAAATTGCTGACATGAACTAGATATCGGAAGACAACCGATTTAAAGATAGTAGTTCTGTGTTACACGGAGACCAGGTCAAGTGTAGAAATTTTAACAGTTCGAACGTTACGTTTAGGGATATTATCGTTTGAGCTCTAGTGTTTGTAATCTAGATCTTATCGACGAAGTGGAATGCACGCTTAATACTATGTCGCTCGGCGTGTTTGTTGGGTGGTTTTAAAATGTTTACTAACCACTTTGCTACAGAACGATATGAGAAATCTTACATTTCCTTAGATGGTCTTAATTCGATGTCACATTTCCGTGGATGATCTTAATCGGACATCCAGTTTGTATACCTACGGTAGGCCTTATAACGCAGATAAATGGAAACCCACCGCCCTCACTGTTTTGTATATGATTAGTGGAATCATCTGTTGATCTGTGAGCTTTTGTAGTCATCCGGTCAACTCATTCTCGCTCATATAATTGTCATCGTTTTGTTCATTCAATTTCTGGACGTTTTTGTGATCATTCAAGATGTAATTAATTTCGTAAATCTATTCATTCTTGTCAAGAGGAACAATTCGTGTACTTTGATCAGGTTTCATGATAATCAACTTCCCGTCATATGTGAGTTCATTGATAACCTCACTGCATATTACAGTTGAATTACTTATATAGATATATCTAATAATCTCAAACTGATAACAACACTTTAATCATCTTAATACATTCACATTGTAATTTGTTATAAGATTGCAAAATTCATTGTTATTCTTCACTTTACGTGATCCAGAATTGTGATCTTTCACTTGCAACATCAGGATCATTCCTTGTTCATATGTCCTCATGCAACCTGTGCTTTAAGTACAAAACTGTTCACTTACATATATGTACGAAAATACAGCTTGATAACACGTTTGTTGTAAAGAGATCTGTTTTCTAAAAAATTATCCATTTGTTCGTAGCTTGAAAGTCAACGATATTCAATGTGTATGAAAAGAATGATAGTCGATGAAACCAGTAGGCAGTTAAGAACATCTCGTCCATTGAATCTCGTTTCATGAAGAACATTTTATTAATATAATTATATTTATGTAGATTTTCTTCATGTAAATATACACAAGATCAAAATGGATTTCAAAGTGAGTCACTGTACTAGTACATGCATGAAATCGAATGGATCACATCATATGAGTAGACTGACAGGATGATCTTCAGTCAATCATATAAAAATGAGATCACTTGCCCACATTTTAAGTGAACTAATGTTAAAATTTATGTTCAGTCAAAATATTACAATGTCGAACTGCTAATATACAACTTGTTTAACTTCATACGCTGTATCAATGTTAAACATCTAAGTTGGGCTACAATCAAGAGAATAATAAAAGGGATATTTCGTATGCGAAATATGATTGCAGATTTCGTCAACCATATTTTATTTGGTAAATCAATAAATACGCTGCCATCAGGAAATTTTCGAAATGCAATGATTCGTGTCTATTCCTTTGTATTCAACGTTGATGGATAATAGTGTAAACTACAGTTCACAATGTCGTGTATTATATATTAAGTAATATTGACCAAATATCCATTGACAGATATCACTTTACGATTTGTTAGTGAAACAATAAAAATGTGTATTTCTTGTCACATATCTAAATATACAAAATTAAAACCTATGAAACATGTTTGATGTGTACAATGTAATAAACTAGTCTGTAGCGAGACTTGACACAATAAGCAATGATAGTTTAAAACTACAAGTTGCTGCAACATTCTCGAAATCCCACTTCTTTCTACATTGAGTAAATATAAAAAATGTTTAGGTAACAATCTGAAACATCTTAAGCGAAAGAATTAGGTATTTCCGAATTCCGTGAAGATTCATCTGATATATTCTTGATTACATACGTATTGCATTATGACATATGAACTCGTTAGTTTGGGAATTTTTATTTATTTATTTCAACACATAGATATTGATATGAGGGAGCACCAAATGCAGATGAGCCACACAGATCTCATTTGATATGTGTGAGGGCTGTGATACTGCCCGGGTGCCAAGACCGAAGTGTATATTACCATCGCCTTTATTGTGAACATAATAAGAACGGATAACAACAGCATCGGGAAGTCTCAAGAACCAAGTAAATTCATGACTTCATCATTCATAACATATTGGTATCCTAAAAAATGAATCCTGACAGCCAAATATTCTGATGTTTTACTAGTTTGATCTATCGTCAATCCATCTGTATTGAAATCCAGTGCGATACGTCTAGATGAAATACGTATTTGTATTACATACAATGAAGAAAGTGTATATGCTCAAATCAGTCCAGCACATCCGTTATTAGTTACAAACGGATTGGTGTATTATGACGGAAGACTGTGAACACATATGAAAAGAT